TAGATTCCGGAAGGGAACCGGTTCTCAAACGGGTTTTGTCTGAAATGACAGACCAGAACCCGTTAGAGAACCGGTTCCCTTCCGGAATCTATCGCCTGTCTGAAATTCCCCCATCTGTTAACATTCTTATTCTGCCCTCTCTCTAAGGAGCTCAGGGCAACAGGCATTGCTCCCCGCTTCATTTGATCCCCATAACAACCCTATGAGGTAGGTTAGGCTAAGTAGAGAGTCATCGGCCCATGGTTCCTTCCAGTGAGCTCCATGTGGAAACTTTAACTTGGGTCTCCGAGATCCTAGTCACGTATTCTAACCACTAGACCAGGCTGGACAGCTTCCTTCAAATCAGAAATGGTGTACGTCAGGGGTGTCAAACATAAGGCCCGGGGGCCAGATCTGGCCTGTCCAGGGCTCTTATGTGGCCCGTGAGCAACTAGTGCAAGGGAGGAAGTGCTGGGGGGGAGTGGGCGGAGCCACTCCATTGTGGCTTCAGCACAGGAGAACAACCTCGTCTGCAGCAGTCAAGCATCGTGGGAGCATCTGCCCACTGCACTGCACTGCACTGCTGTCTCTCCAGTCCGCCTATGTGGGTTTTCCTCTGCATTCCTCTCCCGGCCCAGGGGGCCTCACAGTGAGAATACACTAACTTGGTATTGGGTGTTGTAAATAAGAAGCGGGAGACTGACCAGTTATGAAGGTGCACGGAGAGTTTATATAGTTATAAAGGTGAATATATACAGAGATATTTACAGGCTATGGAACAGCATGTCGTGCCTTAGTCTATGAGAACTAAATCCCCATCCAGCTTACTAAGCTGATAGCTATTATGCTAAACCCCAGCCAATCTCTAACAGGGTGATGCAATCACTAACTCTAACAAACCCTGAAAGAGTAACACCTGCTAGAAAACACCTGGCTGTAATTACCTGATTACTAGCATGACAGCTAGGTCTGACAAGCAGATCAAAGTGATCTATAGTAACTGCTTGCTACCTCTATCACTCTGATATATCTCAATACTTGGAGCTTATCAGCTGCTATCCTTTATACACTTTCTATCTCTGGTACCTGGCATCTGTTGTGGCCGGGGAAGAGAAAGGAGTTTGTAAGCCACTCTGAGTGAAGGGCGGGGTATAAATCCAATCTCTCCTCCTCCTCACCACATGTCCCAGCCCGACAAAGTGAAATTTATGTCAGATCCGGCCCTCGTAACAAATGAGTTTGACACCTCTGGTATACGTGATTCTTCCTTCTTCTGTTGGATCCTCATAACAACCCTGTGTGGTAGTATGGCTGAGAAAGTGACCGGCTCTGCTCTAGTGGCCTTGGAGGCGAGGGGGGAGACCAGGAGGGAGGACTTCTCTGTGATAGTCCTGTGCCTCTGGAACGTCTTGCTAAGGAGTGCTTGTGTGTTATGTGCTGTCAAGTCGCTTCTGAGTTGTGGAGACCCTATGAACTATGTGTGTGTCGTGCTGTCAAGTCACTTGTGGCCTATGGCGAACTTACGAATTAATGACCTCCAAAACATCCGATCGGCGGCAGCCTTTCCCAGGTCTTGCAAACTGAGGTCCGCAGCTCCCTCGATTAAGTAAATTCTCTAAAGGAAGGGTGCCCAACAGGGAGTGACAGGCAGTGTAATGTAGTTATTAGAGTGTCAGAGGATCTGGGAGACCCGGGTTCGAATCCCCTGTCTACTGTGGAAGATTGCTGAGTGACCTTGGGTCATTCGCCTCCTCTCAGCCTAATCTACCTCACAGGGTTGCTGTGAGGGTAAAATAGAGGAAAGGAGAGCACCGTAAGCCATCTTGGTTCCCCACTGGGGAGAAAGGTGGGGTATAAATGAAACGAAATAAAACTGGTGTCCTGTGAGCTGTAACTGCACTCTCTAGACCAAGGGTCTCCAGTGTGGTGCCTTTGGGTGCCATGATGCCCGCCAATACCTTTCCTGGTGTTCACCAAGTGTTTTTAAGAAACTGGGCAGGGCCACGTGGGGCTTTTGCCCCAACAAGACTTTTTTTGTGGCTGTGGAGATTTTTAAAAACATTTCTTCAGCAGCAGCTGCCACCACAGCATACAGATTTTCACTGTGTGACTGAAGTAAGCTGCGGCAGCCATTTTGTGGCTGGCTTTGCCTCCTGCGGCAGCTGTTTCATGGCAGCCATTTTGTGGCTGCGCCCACACTACATCAGAATTCCAAAAGGGTCCATAATCTTGAAAAGGTGAGGGACTCCTGCCCTAAACAGTGTCACCAGGCCTGCAGTAGCCCCGCCAGACTTTACTCGATGGTACAGTTGAGATAAAATAAAGAGAGGGAGAGGGGCACAGTAGAACAGCCAGCCAAGCCTAAAGATGTGGCCTCACAAAGATCAGGCATAGAGGTCAACTCTTGTGTGGGCTGTACATTTTCAGTCTGTGGGTGGCGACTCACTCAATGCAGTCCTCTGCCGCTATACAAAGGTCCTACAGCCTTCAAATAAGCATGTCAGGTTCTAGCCGAGCTGCTGCCTTTCTCCTTGAGGTGTTACTTTTCTGCATGCAGGGAATTTGTTTTTGTAAGGGGGAAGCATTCAGTTACGTGGATCTCCTCAGTTAGAATCCTTATCCTTTCCTTCTTTCAAGGAACTCGGGGCAGGGTCCGTGTTCTTCCCTTCCTCCGCTTATCCTCACAGCAATCCTGCAAAGCGAGTAAGGCTGATCGTACCTACCTCACAGGATTGTTGTGAGGATGGTAATGCAGGAGGAAGGAGTGCCATCTGCATCGGACAAGGTCATATGACTGGCCTAAGGTTTTATAGTTCCTTTGCTTGGTGCTCTGACCACTGGGCCATGCTAGCTCTTGATTTGTGCTTGGAAGCTGGTGATCCAAGTACGGGTTGACCACCCAACGGGCTCCTTGCAAACCCTTAGGCTGTAGCCTCCCCTAAGCATTATGGGACTGATTGGAAGAGGGTGGGAACAGAGGCCATTTTCAGTTGGCTGGGTTGGGGCCAGCCTGTGTATTTACTTATTTACCAAGTTTATATCCCATCGTTCTCCCCAAGGGGGTCCCAGAGCGGCTTGAGTTGGTCTCCTCTCCTCCGTTTTACCCTCACAACAACCCTGTGAGGTAGGTTAGGCTGAGAATGTGTGACTGGCCCAAGGGTACCCAGCGAGCAGAGTGGGGATTCAAACCGGGGTCTCCCAGACCCTCATGCGACACTCTAACCGCTACACCGCACTGGCTCTCCAGTATGCAGTAATGGCCGGTAAAAAGGGCAAGAGATGTGGTGTTTGGAAGGTAGCAAAGATGGTGGAGCCTCCCGGGGCTTTTGTGGCTCTCTTTCTTGTGGCTCATGGTTCTTTGAGGCTTGTGGACTTCGCCCCCCTCCTCGTTGTCATGCCGACAGCCCTCAAGTCGTTCAGTCCGGCTTCAGCTGACCCTCACCTGTCTTTCTGCCTTAATCCACTCCACATCCCCCGTTGCCAGGAGTTTTGTGCCCGTCCGTTCGCTCTGCTTTCTCACCTTGCATCTTAATTTACCATCTGCCCTTCTCCGACACCGCTCCAAGCGGGGGCAATTTTCTGCTCTGTTTCCTTGGCACAAGACCAGGGTCGTTTGACTCCTGCGGTACTAGATCTGAGTCCTGGTTGTGCTGCAGCCGTACAGAATGACAGAGCAAGTTAGCCACCCTCCAAGGCCATCTGTTGTGGGAATAATTATTTTTTCCCAGGCATTTCAGGCGCCGAATTTTAATAAACGTTCCAGGAGATGGACAGTTGGCTTCCCCGTTTTACTGGGGAATGGTCAAATTGGTTTGCCCATAAAGTAACTAGAAAAAGGAGAGAGAAAGAAGAAGAGATTGGATTTATACCCCGCCCTTCACTACCCAAAGGAGTCTCAGAGCGGCTTACAAACTCCTTTCCCTTCCCCTCCCCACAACAGATACCCTGTGAGGTAGGTGGGGCTGAGTGAGCTCTGAACAGAAACTGCTCTTTTTCAAGAACAGCTGTGCCAGAACTATGGCTTGCCCAAGGTCATCCAGCAGGTGCAAGTGGAGGAGTGGGGAATCAAACCCAGTTCTCCCAGATTAGAGTCCGCGCATTTAACCACTACTCCAAACTGGCTCAGAGAGAGAGAAGAAGAGATTGGATTTATACCCTGCCCTTCACTACCCGAAGGAGTCTCAGAGCGCCTTACAATCTCCTTTCCCTTCCCTTCCCCTCCCTGCACCCTGTGAGGTAGGTGAGGCTGAAAGAGCTCTCTTGAGGACTCCCCTTTGCAGAACAGCACTGAGAGAACTTGTGAGTGACCCAAGATCACACTAGCAGCTGCAAGTGGAGGAGTGGGGAATCAAACCCGGTTCTCCCAGATCAGAGTCCACGCTCCTAACCACTACACCAAACTGGCTCTCTACGAAGACAGTTTCAGAGGGTAGCCATGATCGTTTGCAGTAGAACAGTTAGATTCCAGTAGCAACTTAGAGACCAACAAGATTGGGGTGGGGTGTGAGCTTTTGAGTATCAAAGCTTCCTTCTTCCCTGCCTGACAAAGGGAGCTTTTGTGAATATTGTGTGTGTGTGTGTGTGTGTGTGTGTGTGTGTGTGTGCCTGGAAGTCATGGTTGACTTCTGACAACCCCTAGTGGGGCTTGGACATTTCAGAGAGGTGGCTTGATATTATCTGCCTCTGAGTCCCAGCCCTGATATTCCTTGGAGGCCTCCTTTCCAAGTACTTGCCTGGGTCGGCCCTGCTTAGCTTCTGAGATCTGACGACATCGGGCTTGCCTGGGCTATCCAGGTCAGGGCAATCGTGTTGGGTGGGTTTTTTTTTACTTTATTGTGTTTAATAACCAAATACATACATAAAGGTAAAGGTTCCCTTGCTCGAAAGCCAGTCGAATCTGACTCTAGGGTTGCGGTGCTCATCTCCGTTTCAAAGCCGAAGAGCCAGCGCTGTCCAAAGACATTTCCGTGGTCATGTGGCCGGCATGACTAAACACCAAGGCGCATGGAACGCTTTACCTTCCTACCGAAGTGGTACCTATTTATCTACTTGCAATTTCTTGCTTTCAAACTGCTAGGTTGGCAGGAGCTGGAACTAGAGATGGGAGCTCACTCCGTCATGTGGCACACTCGGGTCTCGAACTGCTGAACTACTGACCTTCCGCAGCCTGCAGTTCAGCGTCTTAACCACTTGAGCCACCGCAGCTCCTCAAATACATGCATAGCTGTAACCAAATACATGACTAACGCGCAAAAAAACCAAAACCCATTAACAGTCATTTTAAAGCATAGAAACAGGTACTGAAACATATAACAGTTATTACGACAGTAGTACAACCTATAGTAGCTAGCATTGAGAGAGAAAGCGTGTAACATATGTAACTTTTATGGCTGATATTAATATACAACCTTAATAGCTTCAAGTATATGCTCAAATTCCTTATGTGAGGCAACGTATTCAAGAACCGGAAACCAAATTTTAACAAAATTTGAATTATATAGATCAGTATCTCTTGGTAACAAAGAATCTGCTAGCTTGTCCATTATACAATATTCCTGAATTTTTAAGAACCAATCAGATATAGTGGGTCTTTTGTCATTTTCCCGAAATTTAGCTATAACTGCACGGGCAGCTGCACAGAATATTATGCCCATATTGTCTAGCATATTGTTGGTTTTTAAGGTGCTACTGGACTCGAATCTGTCTTTAAAAAAACACCCGGGCCAGTCTAAATACAGCCTGCCTACCCCACTTCCCAGTCCAGATAACATTTGAATGGAGTCTGGTGGTGGTGGTGGAACGTGCCATCAAGTTGCAGCCGATTCAGTGGTGACCCTGTAAGGTTTTCAAGGTAAGAGAACGTTCAGAGGTGGGTTCCCCACGACCTGCCTCTACATAGTGACCCTGGACTTCCTTGGAGGTCTCCCATCCAAATTCTAACCAAGGCCAGCCCTGCTTAGCTTCCAAGATCTGATGAGATCAAGCTAGCCTGGGCCATCCAGGTCAGGACATACGCACACAAAATCCACTGAACATAGGCCCGGACGATGAGGGGAGGCAGATGTCGTAAAGGACAGGGCCTTTTCAGTGGATGCCCCCTGTCTCAGGTAGGCCATCTTTCTTCCCTTCATGTGACACCTTCCAGGTTGAATGTGCCCTTCAGGGATCAGAACAGCCAATGGGTGTGGATGTGCAGAGGGCAATTACCGGCTATCTCGCCCCAAGGTTGTCCTCGCCTCTTCTTGGCGGGTTCTCATCCCTGGTTCCGTAGCTCCCTGTCTCCTCCTACGCCGAACGTCACTGTCTTCTTCCTCTTTCCTCCTCGCAGGCCCTTATTTCAACCCGCGCTCTCGCCAGCGGATCCCGCGTGACCTCGCCATGTGCGTCACCCCCAGCGGCCAGTTCTACTGCTCCATGTGTAACGCCGGCGCCAGCGAGGAGATGGAGTTCCGGCAGCACTTGGAGAGCAAACAGCACAAGAGCAAAGTGTCCGAGCAGCGGTACAAGAATGAGATGGAGAACCTGGGCTATGTACAATGAGACACGATTCCCGCTCGCCGCTCCCCCCGCCCCCCGATACGGGAGCACCTTCTCGCCACCCTCCGCTTGACCCACGCGCCCTGCTTTTGTGCTCTGCGCCTTCAGAGCCATTTCTCCGGCTCGCTCAGTGTTTCTGACCACCTTCGTACCCAACGGTGAAGTGGGGGGGGGTCCCCGAGATTTTTTCTTTCGCTTGCACTCGGCAGGAGTACACTCCGTGGGCCGCCGAGTGTTCCTGTTGTGTTTGTCCGTTAGCGAAGGCTCGTCGTTGCATTCGGGGGGGGGGGACTCTGCCGTCGCCTTCCCCCCCTGCCCGCACTCCCCTTTGCATGAGTGCACTCGGCCCGAGAAACACCAGAACCGCAGAGAGGCAGGGCACTCCCCCCCCCCTTTTTGTGTGGCGTAGCTCCACTGTAGCCGCAGTACAGCCAGTTTGCTGAGAAGGGAGCAGAGTACGGTGGAAGTCCTGAAGAAGTGCCCACGGCTTGGTGCTAGAGCCCGCGCTTTGCAGACCAGTTCAGTCCTCTGCACCTCCACTTAAAAGTTTCTTGAAACACCCCTGCCCGAGGACTCAGAGAGGTCTGCTAGTCAGAGTAGGCCAGGTTGGACCAGGCGGACCAAGTCACTTGGCTTTAGAGTTGCAACGATTCTGTTGGCTGAAGTCGGAGAGAGAAATTAGGAACTGTTGGGATGAATGCTTAGAACGTGGGACTCGTTTAAGAGTTGAGAGATGAGTGTCGTCTTTGAACCTTCAGTCCTTTTGGCCTTCAGTCTCCTTCCCTCTACACACACCTGTTGATCTGCCTTTACCCAAGTCTGAATTGGTCATACCAAAAAAAAAGCTTTAACCATTCCTGGGGGTTATTTAAGAGGGGAAAAACGACTACTATTACAGAACCCAAATCAGGTGAGCCAAGTTGAATTGCATTCCTGTGACATGTAGAAGAGTTTCACTTGCAGAATTTAGGAGTTTGGAGCACAGAGGTCCAAGATTAGGGTTTGAGGATGCTTTACCACCTCTGCTGATGCGTGGAACAATTCCTATATTGTTCATTTACCTTGGCGCGGATGGATGTCAGCAAGATGATTTCTGGCTTGAGAACATCTGGGATAATTTCCCCTTCTCCCATCTACATGCCTTCTGATATTTTTCTCTTTTTTGCCATTTTATTTCCTGCAAGAACCTGCTGGTCTGAGGCCTGGTTTGCACATGCAGGAGAATGAGGTGGTGGAATGAGCTTTTGTACTTCACAGTGCAGGTGGGAGATTGTGGAGGGTCCCTGGCTCAGTGGTCGAGCATCAGCTTTGCGTGCGGAAGGTCCCACATTCAGTCCCTGGCCTCTCGAGCTAAAAGGGATCAGGTATTAAGTGTTGGAAGAGTCCTCTCCCTATGACCTACTGCCACTTAGAGTACACAGAACTGATCTCGATGGATCAAGGGTTTGCATATAAGGCAGCTTCAGGTGTTTATGGAGGATCCTATTTTAAATGCATTTCTTTGTTTAATATTTAAAAAAAACTTGGTGTGAGCAAAGAGAAGAAGAGATTGGATTTATACCCCGCCCTTCACTTGGAGTCTCAGAGCGGTTTACAATCTCTTTTCCCTTCCCCTCCCCACAACAGACACCCTGCAAGGTAGGTGGGGCTGAGATAGCTCTTCCAAGGACTGCTCTTGAGAGAACAGCTCTGAGAGAACTTGTGACTGACCCAAGGTCACCCATCTGGCTGCATGTGGAGTAGTGGGGAATCAAATCCGGTCCTCCCAGATTACAGTCCGCGCTTTTAGCCACTACACCAAGAGGAGGTTTGGTCTGTCTATCTGCTACATCAGTTCTCCATTTGCATGAAGTTTTTGCACAAAGGAACATTCAGAGCCAGAATCCACCACCCGCTGCTTCATTTTCCTGCATGAACATTATCCATTTTTTGCTCCTTCACTAAACAATCGAAACGGTGCCCTCTGGGCATTTCAGTTCGAGGCATAGTTAGAGGTAGAAATGGAGGCAGGGGTATCTCTGGGACCCGCTGCTCAAAGCAGTTGCTCGGCGGCAAGGCAGGTCCCGGCTAACGCAACCGAATTCAGAGTCTCCGTTTTTTCTCCACCAGTTGCAGCCGGACATGTTTGGCCAGTGCATGTGATGTGTGGCTTGGCCCAAACCAGGAGGTATCTGGGCTCAATTAAAAGCATCTGACTCGGCTGGCAGCGCAGCGAGGACAGCTGGCCGACCCTTCCTGTCTCAGGCATGCTTCCAAGAAGCATCTTTCCTCCGCTGCCCGAGTGAATGCACGGAACTTGGCAATCAGTTTTAAACGGGCTGCCAGGCGAACATGGATATCTGTTCACCTGCCCAAAAGCCTCTCGCCCCAAGGTGTGGCCATCACCGACGAGCTAAACGTCTCTCGTTTCATCGCCATTGCCCCTCCCCTGGTCTTGAAATGTTGTGTCTTGACATTTTATTTAACTATTCTGTCAACGGGGTTGTCGGTTCTGAGCTTGCCATCTTTCTGCTTCAGAACACCGATGCATGGCTGTGCTGCGGTGGTAGTAAACATCATGCCTTCTTCCATCTTCTCAATCTTTAAGCAAGTTGATCGTCAGACCCTAAGACGGGGGTCCCCGACGTGGTGGCCCCACCGACACCTTTCTTGGCGCCTGCCAAGTGTTTTTAGAAACCGGGCGGGGCCAGGTGGGGCTTTTGCCCAGCAACGCTTCTGAGTGGCCACTGGAGGTTTGATTGGCTGCCCAGCTTTTTAGAAACATTGCTTTGGCTGCAGCCGCCACCATAGCACAAGGATCTTCATCGTGTGGCTTGAAGGTAAACGGTGGCAGCCACCCCTGCAGCGGCCGTTCCATGGCTGTGCCCATTGCCCTGTGTCAGAATTCCAGAGGTGCCCGCAGGGTCAAAAAGGTTGGGGACCCCCCCCCCGCCCTAAGAGCTGATCTCCGTGTTGCATCAAAGGCAGTGGGGAAACGGAACTGGGAGAATGACCGGCTGTGCTGCTAAAACAAAAATAGCAGGTGGGAGAAATAGCATTGTTGAAAGCTGTCCGATGTCTTTAAAAAAACCCCCATCCTTGCATGTATTCAGCTGCCCTGACCTGGATGGCCCAGGCTAGCCTGATAGAGTCAAATCTCGGAAGCTGAGCAGGGTTGGCCGTGGTTAGTATGTGGATGGGAGACTACGAAGGACATCGAGGGCTTCTACACAGACGGAGGCAATGGCAAACCACCTCTGAATGTCTCTTGCCTTGAAACCCTCTGAGCATAACTCCCTCTCTGACAGGCTGATTACATGTAAAATAGTAAAAAGCCCAGTGGCACCTTTAAGACTAACAAACTTTATTGTAGCATAAGGGAGAGCCAGTTTGGTGTAGTGGTTAAGTGCGTGGACTCTAATCTGGGAGAACCGGGTTTGATTCCCCACTCCTCCACTTGCACATGCTCATGTGACCTTGGGTCAGTCACAAGCTCTGGCACAGCTGTCCTTGAAAAAGAGCAGTTTGTGTCAGAGCTCTCTCAGCCCCACCCACCTCACAGGGTGTCTGTTGTGGGGAGGGGAAGGGAAAGGAGTTTGTAAGCGGCTCTGAGACTCCGAGTGAAGGGCAGGGTATAAATCCAATCTCTTCTTTTCTTCTTCTTGTTAGTCTTAAAGGTGCCACTGGGCTTTTTGCTATTTTGCATCAAGAGACTAACACGGCTAACTCCTCTGGATCTATGATTACATGTAGGGGACTTTGGTCACTTTAAAAACGAAATAACCTCTCCCGTATCCCGCCACGTGCATCTCCCCGAAATTTACCTCTGCATCCTACCATCTCCTTCATAATTTGTGAAAAGGTTAGTTCTTTTCACGCTAACCTCTCATTCATCTTTTTTGTGTGTGTCTCCCTTTGAACTCCAAAGGTTCCTTTTATTCATTTACAGCCTTCCCCCCCATTTTAAGGTTTAGGCCACATAGCAGTCGCTAGTAGTAAACTGGCTGGCCAGTGTGTGGACAATGAAAACCACAAAATTAGGCCACTCGTAAACAGCATAAGGTCTCTGCACTCAAGCAAGGGGTGGGAGAGACTTCCCAGGTATGCAGAAAAACACGACTTTGTAGATTTGCCCAGGGCTCTTTTTGTAGAAAAAGTCCAGCAGGAACTCATTAGCATAATAGGCCACACCCAACAGCAGGAACTCATTAGCATATTGGGCCACACCCCTGACAGCACAGCTCATTAGCACATTAGGCTGCACCCCCATGTTACCAGACGTGTGGCTATCCAGCCACACCCACCTTTTGCTTGTTATTCGGTTTACCTTGTTTGTTGTCAAAACCCAGGGCTTTTTTGTAGCAGGAACTCCTTTGCATGTTAGGCCACACACCCCTAATGTAGCCAATCCTAATGAGTTCCTGCTGTTGGGTGTGGCCTATTATGCTAATGAGTTCCTGCTGGGCGTGGCCAACTTGGGAGCCAGCCGGAACTCCGTTCCTGTGCGTTCCTGCCCAAAAATAGCCCTGGATTTGCCGAAAGGAATCAAAACTCTTAAAGACCAGCTTGATGAGACTGAAAACTCAGCGTGTTGTTGTTGGTGGGGGAAGCGTTCAAGCCCCTGAGAGAGTGTAGAGAATCTTGGGGAGGGGGGATTGGAAGTAATTTCCAAACTCTTTTCTCCTCCTCCAGTTCCTTTTCTTTCCCCTCCCAAATCCCGTATTTTCCTAATTCCAGTATTCCCTATGCCAGCACTGTGAAATGGGCTATATAGTTGTTGCAGATAAGTGAATGTGTCTGTGAGAAAGCCCGTGTGATATCCAGCCAGAAAGCACGCTTCACAATCCCACTGATTTAAGAACAAATGAGTTAAGCCCATGCCCGACTGGTCTGGGTTTTGTGCATACTAATTGCACCCGTGTTGCGAGCCATTTGCTGTGGGACTTGTCCCCAAATAAGTGTGTCTGGAATTGCCATTTTGGCATGTTTGCGGCCCAGCTGGGATTTGAAGGTTCCAAGTCGATCCATCCTCCAACTCTGTTTTGAACCGTTTTATTTCCATTGGTGGCCGGATTTGGGGACGTGGGGAACATCGTGCCTTC